AGACACCAAGGTCAGTGAAGAAGGAGGGGGAGGAGGTGCTCCAGGTGTCGGAGCAGAGATTCCCCTGCAGCCCGTGGTGAGCCCATGGGGAGGGCGGGCTGTGCCCCTGCAGCCAGTGGAGGTCCATGGTGGAGCAGATATCCACCTGCAGCCCATGGAGGACCCCACGCCGGAGCAGGTGGATGTGCCCAAAGGAGGCTGTGACCCTGTGGGAAGCTTACACTGGAGCAGGCTCCTGGCAGGACCTGTGGACCCGTGGAGAAACAGGAGCCCACACTGGAGCAGGTTTGCTGGCAGGACTCGTGACCCTGTGGGGGACCCACACTGGAACAGTCTGCTCCTGAAGGACTGCACCCCATGGAAGGGACCCACGCTGGAGCAGTTCGTGAAGAACTGCAGCCTGTGGGAAGGACCCACATTGGAGAAGTTCGTGGAGGACTGTCTCCTGGGGGTGGACCCCACTCTGGAGCAGGGGAAGAGTGTGAGGATTCCTCCCCCTGAGGAGGGAGGAACAGCACAGATGATGTGTGATGAACTGACCACAACCCCCATTCCCTGTCTCCCTGCACTGCTTGGCAGAAGGAAGTAGAGAAAATTGAGAGTGAAGTTGAGCCTGGGAAGAAGGGAGGGGTGAGGGAAAGGTGTTTTAAGATTTAATTTTTATTTCTCATTATCCTACTCTGATTTGACTCGTAATAAATTGAACTGATTTTCCTTAAGTCGAGTCTGTTTTGCACATGATGGTAATTGCTGAGTCACCACTCCCTGTCCTTATCTCAACCCAAGAGCTTTTTTGTTATATTTTCTCTGCCTGTCCAGTTGAGAAAGGGTGTGATAGAGCAGCTTTGGTGGGCACTTGGCATCCAGCCAGGGTTAAACCACCACAAACAGTCATACATTATTTGATTCTGTATGATCTTATTCATCTCTCCATGTCACTTATGACATTCTATCCCTCTATCCCTCTATCCCTCTATACAGCTCTCCTTAGGCAACTGCTTTCCAAGTTGAATACTACTAATCTATTTAGTCTTTCCTCATATGGAAGCAGATCCATAAATACATGCAGCATGAATATAGCAGTTTGCTGTAAACATATACATATATATCTGTACATATACAAAAAACTACACAGAAAGACTGTAGGGGCTCCAAATATTCCAACAGTATGACATAGTACAATTCAAAATTGTGACTTTAAATGCTGATTTTAATAGAATAACTTCATCTTGGTTCAACCATAAGGGAATAGTTACTTTTGTATCTCATGCCCCTTCCTCCTTCTATCAGTCATTCATGTAATTAATGCCTGGAAGATATACATTATTCATGATCTTTTCATCCACCCACTATGGTGAATCACGTAAGTCTCCAGCTATGGTGTAGAAAAACTCTCTTTCATGAGAAAGATGATTAAACAAAATCTTGTGACAATGCAAAACCATATGAATAGTACACTTGAATCAGACTTTTAGGTGTAAACCAAAAGTGCATAGCCACAATTTCTTACCAGAACATTTTGTTCTGGTGTGTATACACACAAACTAATATGTATGTATGTATTTCAATCATTGCTCAAATGCAGTGTATTCAATGTTTGCAGATGGAAGTGTTAATGAATTAGAGATTAATAAATAGGGTAAAAGAAGAGACGTGGAAATGATTAAGATTTGGAAAAACAGAATGAAAGGGTCAGATGAATAGGGCAGAAATATAAGACTAAAGAAGTATTTGTTTAAGGTATTTACGTGTCTATATTGGAAACAAAAATTTATGACCCAGTGCTTTCTCCAGCAGACAAAGCAATAATGAGACCCCATGGATCGATCTTGAAGTAAAAATTAGAATCAAACACACTCAATTCAGAAAGAAGATAATCATATTAAGCAGGAAAGACCATGATTAGCAACATCTATCAATGCTTCAAAAGAATTCTTCAGCAGTGTAACTGTTAAACTTAAAATATGAAAGATAGTGTTATAGTTCAAACAGGAATTAAATTACAGCAGTCTCATGTCTGGTACTGTATTGGAGGACACATTAGATGACCACCACTAGCCACTCCAATGGAAAATTTGTGAACTCTTTTAAATTTACCCAGTATGCACAACTATTTTTAATTCTCCATTAGCACCTTCTGCTGAACTAATCTCAAAAAGATTTTCAGTAAAATACCGTGAAGTGTGTTAAAGTTTGCCTGTTGGCCTTGAGTTATACGAATTTGTTTCATAATTCACTGATAAGATGCAACAAGTGGCCTTACAACACAATGCCAGCATGCTGCTGCTATTGGAAGTGTCAATTTTAATCTACTGTAAGTCATCTTAAAACCCTTTGTGCAAGCCTAATGAAAGCATCTGTATTATTTCTTTCAGCCATCGTATTCTGAGTTCGATATAAGTGGAAATGTGCTGGGACTGATCTTTAACCAAGGCATGATCTGGTAGGTGTGGCAAAGCGTCTTGCATCTGCAGGACTGCAGGATTTAGCTGTATCTGTGAAAGATTCTTCTGAAATGCTGATCCTGCCCCATTCCTTTATTTTGATGGAAGTGTAAAGCAATATATATCAAACCCTGGTATGCTGCAATCAGTGGGGCCACTTCAAACTAGTTCTGGGCTAAGATTATGGGACCAGATACATCAGGATTTTGCAATGAGCTGGTAAGACCAAACAGTAAAAAGCTGCACGGATGAATGCTATCTTTTTGTTGACTGACTGCTTGCTAGAGCAAGCACCTGGCCTGTACTGTTTTGCTTTGAATTCCAGCCTTTCAAAATACCATACCACTCTTTTCCCACATGTCCTGTGAAAAAAGGCCTCAAAACAAATGTATGTACCGTTATCTGTGCAGGCATGTCAATGTGCATAAAATGTTACTGCTGCAATATTACTCCTTAGCTCTAGAGCAGAAGTAATCTATGTTTCATCCCATTTTTGGACTTTACTTGAGTGGCAAAGAATACCAGCATGTAGAGTCCTCATGCAAGATACTCAGTCTTCCTCAGGAGCTGTCCTCCTCAAGCCTTGTTGACTTCTCAAAGTTAGTTCTTGCTAAGTCCTAATTTTTCACCTTTAATATGACTTTGCTGATAAGACTTTTTGCTTGGTGAAAGCCCTCACTTCTGTAATGTCCAAAGGTTGTGTCTTATGTGGATGTCAAAGAAATGCCACATAAATATGGCAAAGAAAGAGGCTGCAAATATCTTGCAGCCCCTGCAACCAAATACTGTTGGGGGGATCACTGAGGGCCCCAACAGCAGCACCGTGGGTTTGCTCAGAAGGAGGGTATATTGTGGGGGATGAGCACAGCACCACCTATGGCCTCGTAGTGATGGCATGCCATAAGAGTGTGGCTGAAGGGAACCCAGCCCTGCTGCTGGCATGTAAGGCACCTATACTGTGTCTTGCACCTCAGAAAAGCAGCTTAGCTTTGCAACTGGCATCTTGCTATGTGCCTTAGAACTGGCATTCTAATTTATGGTAGGAAACATTTCTCAGGCTGCAGTTCATCAAAATTACGAGGCTGCAGCGTAAACTGTGCTTGCAATTTGATACACAATTGATGGCACTAATACTTTCTACTTTTGTAATTAACACTTTGGAAGATAGGTTGGAAATCATTCTCTGCCTGAGAGAAGTTGAGGACTGGGTGAGGGAGTCGATTCCTGATTATTCTCTAACATAAATCTATACATAAATATAATTTTTATACTTCATTACATGCTGTCATGGGTTTAACCCCAGCCAGCCAGTAACCACCATGCAGCTGCTCACTCAATCCCCCTGCCCCGGTGGGATGGGGGAGAGAATTGGAAGAGTAAGAGTGAGAGACAATCCTGGGTTGAGATAAGAACAGTTTAATAATTGAAATAAAATAAAGTAAAATAATAGTAGTAATAATTACAATATAATAATAACAGTAATGATAATATACAAAGCAAGTGATGCACAATGCAATTGCTCACCACCCGCCGACCAATACCCAGACAGTTCCCGAGCAGCGATTGCAGCCCCCTGGCCAACTCCCCCCAGTTTATATACTGAGCATGATGCCATATGGTATGGAATAGCCCTTTGGTCTGTTTGGATCAACTCTTCTGGCTGTGCCCCCTCCCAGTTTCTTGTGCACCTGGCAGAGCATGGGAAGCTGAAAAGTCCTTGACTAGCATAAGCAGTACTTAGCAACAACTAAAATGTCAATGTGTTATCAACATTCTTCTCGTACTAAATCCAAAACACAGCACTATGCCAGCTACTAGGAAGAAAATTTAACTCTATCCCAGGCAAAACCAGGACACATGCACAGACTCTGTGGACTTCTAAGTTGCCATGCCCCAATATATACACTGTGGCACAGAAACTGTGACTTGTGCTTTGGTGATATTATTTAGATACAGCGTCCTTTGGCTTACTGCTTATTGCAAGGTTTGGATCACATTTACGTGCTAAATGATATTTGCAGGGCCAGGTAAGGCACTAGAGCTGTAATGTTTTTGAAAATAATGTCTGATGATTTAAACTAAACCAAATATATCAGATGACTAAAAAAAGGTTGACAGAATTATAATAAACATACACTGCCAAAACCATGTTTATCTTTAACACATACATAGGATAAATTGGTTTCTATTTTATCTGAGCTTTACAAATTCCGTTGCACATGCTTGTGCTCATCCGAAATGTAATATAAAAGAGTTTCAGGTGCAGCTGGTGAGCTGGTGCTATCACAGAGCTAAAAAGGATACAAGAGGTATGTATATGTGCATTTATTTTTGTGTACAAGAGAGACCATGTGGTTAGGAAAACATTCTTCTCTTTCTCTGTGTTTCCACAAAGCAAGTGGGATACAAATTTGTAAGTCTTCTCCATATTAATAAGCTTTGTCAAAAATTTGTCTACCACACAATAAATGTTATACTGAAATATTATGATAACAGCCATAAGTTACGCGGATTCAGAACTTGTTGCAATTGGAGAGTATTTTGCAACTGATTTCCATGAGGGTAAGGAACAGGGCCATGAGGTGCTTTCTCCCTTCAACTTTAGAGTGGCAAACCCTTTATCTTTTCACTGAAGATATATGAAAAGAGGAAGGAGAGATATTAATATAATAGAGTCTGTCATAATATTTCTGTACTCGGAAGGTCTTTCCAACCATGTAGATCTATTTCTTATTTTTTAAGTAGAAAAACTGAGGCACTCAGAGGCAAAGCAGCTCAGCCCACGTCACCTGGACAATGATTAAGGAAAAAGTAGGTTCCTGATCTCTTACATTATGTACCATTTGACCAGGCAAATGAAAGCTATTGCTCTTCAGTCAGTATGGCACAAGAAACAAAGTGTGATAAAAATAAACTGGTCCCAGCTGTTTCAGTGTCATAACCATGCAACCACACATAATAAGGAAAAAACCATATTTAGCAGAATCCATAAATGGAATGTAGCACTAATAATAACCACAGTAATAGAAGTAAAACAAATGTCAACTTGGCAAAAATATCCTTCCTAAAATGGTGTTAGTATATTAAGAAAAATAATAAAGAATAAACTTGATTATTTTGGTAATACCTAGCTTTAGGGCTATGCTTTTTTATACAAGTAAGGTCCTACCTGAACTAAACGGACAAAGTAAGAGTGGATAACGTTTCACCAGGTGATCGTTTAATTTGCAGAGAAAGAGGGCTTTGTAACTTTGAAGCAAAAAGTTCATACAGAGAATCCTCTCCATACACCTCCAGTTCTTCTTAAGGCAAGACTGAAGAGACAAGACCAGAAAAAAATATGAAGATGATTTTACGAACTTGATTTCTGAGTGTACAGTGTGATCCTTGCACAGGACTTAGCAGGGCTCATTGAAAGAGCTTTAAACTAGATTGGAAGGGGGAAAGGGATAAAACAAGGCCCACTAGACAGAAGCCTGGGGACAGCGCACCAATGTCTGAGGGACAGTGTGCTAGCAAGGTCCTGATCTGCCATCGCAATGGAGGTAGGGGATGGAGATCCATGCAGCAGCAAAGACACAAGGAGTATGGATGCATTGGTAACCATGGAACTGTCTGAGAATGGCCACGTCGCAATTAGGGCTTCTCCCCCCAAAAAGGTGGCAGGATCAATAGCCCAAATGAAGTGCACCTACACCAGTGCACGCAGCATGGGCAACAAACAGGAGAGGCTGGGAGCCACTGTGCAGCGGGAAAACTATAATATAGATGCCATCACAGAAACATGGTGGACTTGCATGACTGGAGTGCTGCAATGGATGGCTATAAACTCTTCAGAAGGGATAGCCAAGGAACCTCATACAATTAGCCTCAGCCCCTTGATCCAGCCTGTCCAGATCCCTCTGCAGAATAGCCAAGGAAGGAGAGGTAGTGGGATAGCTCTGTATGTTAGGGAATGTTTTGATTGGCTAGAGTTTGATGATGGTGATGATAGGGTTGAGTGTTTATGTGTAAGAGTCAGGGGGAAGGCCAACAATGTAGATATGGTGGGAGTCTGTTACAGACTGACCAACCAGGATGAAGAGGCAGACAAAATATTTTATAAGCAGCTGGGAGAAGCCTCACAATCGCTAGCCCTTGTTCTCATGGGGGACTTCAACCTACCAGATACCTGCTGGAAATACAATACAGTGGAGAGGAAACTGTCCAGGAGGTTTCTGGAGTGTGTGGAAGATAACTTCCTGACAGACCTGGTGAGTGAGCCAACTAGGGAAGACACCCCACTAGACCTGTTGTTTATGAACAGAGAAGGCTGCCTTGGGTACAGTGATCATGAAATTATAGTGTTTTCAATTCTTGGAGAAGTAAGGAGTGGGCGCCAGCAGAACAGCTACCTTGGACTTCCAGAGGGCAGACTTTGGCCTGTTTAGGAGCCTGGTTGACAAGAGTCCCGCTGGCGGCAGTCTTGAAGAGTAAAGGAGTCCAGGAAGACTGGACTTCAAGTTCTTCAAGAAGGAAATTTTAAAGGCGCAGGAATAGGCCGTCCCCATGTGCTGAAAGATGAGCTGGCAGGGAAGAAGACTGGCCTGGCTGAATAGAGAGTTTTGGCTGGAACTTAGGAAAAAAAGGAGAGATTATGACCTTTGGAAGAAGGGCCAGGCAACTCAGGAGGACTGCAAGAATGTCGTGAGGCTATGCAGGGAGAAAATTAGAAGGGCCAAAGCCCAATTAGAACTTAATCTGGCTACTGCTGTAAAAGACAACAAAAACTGTTTCTATAAATACATTAACAGCAAAAGGAGGGCTAAGGAGAATCTCCATACTTTATTGGATGCAGGGGAAACATAGTGATAAAGGATGAGGAAAAGTCTGAGGTACTTAATGCCTTCTTTGCCTCAGTCTTTAATAGTAAGACCAGTTGTTCTTGGGGTACCCAGCCCCCTGAGCTGGAAGACAGGGACAGGGAGCAGAATGAAGCCCCCATAATCCAAGGGCAAATGGTCAGCGGCCTGCTACACCGCTTAGACACTCACAAGTCTATGGGGCTGGATGGGAACCACCCAAAGGTACTGAGGGAGCTGGCAGAAATGCTCACCAAGCCACTCTCAATCCTTTATCAACAATCCTGGCTAACTGGGGAGGTCCCAGCTGACTGGAGGTTAGCAAATGTGATGCCCATCTACAAGAAGGGCTGGAAGGAGGATCTGGGGAACTACAGGCCTGTCGGTCTGACCTCTGTGCCGGGTAAGGTTATGGAGCAGATCATCTTAAGTACCATCATGCAGCACATACAGGAACCAGCTGAACAGGCCCAGTCAGCATAGGTTTATGAAAGACAGGTTCTGCTTGACTAATCTGATGTCCTTCTATGACGAGGTGACCTACTTAGTGGCTGAGGGAAAGGCTGTGGATGTTGTCTACCTAGACTTTAGTAAAGCCTTTGACACCGTCTCCCACAGCATTCTCCTGGAGAAACTGGCTGCTCATGGCTTGGGTGGGCATGCTCTTCACTGGGTAAAAAACTGCATGGATGTCCAGGCCCAAAGAGTAGTGGTGAATGGAGTTAAGTCCAGTTGGTGGCCAGTCACAAGTGGTGTTCCCCAGGGCTCAATATAGGGGCCGGTTCTGTTTGGTATCTTTATCAATGATCTGGACAAGGGGATCAGTAAGTTTGCAAATGACACTAAGTTGGGTGGGAGTGTTGATCTGCTTGAGGGTAGGAAGGTTCTGCAGAGGGATTTGGACAGGCTGGATCAAGGGGCTGAGGCCAACTGTATGAGGTTCAACAAAGCTAAGTGCTGGGTCCTGCACTTCGGTCACAACAACCCCATGCACCCCATGCAACACTACAGGTTTGGGGAAGGGTGGCTGGAAAGCTGCCGGGCAGAAAAGAACATGGGGATGCTGGTCAACAGCCAGCTGAGTATGAGCCAGCAGTGTGCGCAGGTGGCCAAGAAGGCCAATAGCATCTTGGCTTGCTTCAGAAATAGTCTGGCCAGCAGGACTAGGGAAGCTATTTTCTGTCCCCCTGTACTTGGCACTGGTGAGGCCACACCTCGAATACGGTGTTCAGTTTTGGGCCCCTCAATACAAGAAAGACATTGAGTTGCTGGACCATGTCCAAAAAGCGGCAGAGAAGCTGATGAGGGGGACTGGAGCACAAGTCTTATGAGGAGTGGCTGAGGGAACTGGGGTTGTTCAGCCTGGAGAAAAGGAGGCTGAGGGGAGACCTTATTGCTCTCTACAACTGTCTGAAAGATTGTAGTGAGGTGGGTGTTGGTCTTTTTTTCTAAGTAGCAAGTGATAGGACAAGAAGAAATGGCCTCAGGTTGCACCAGAGAAAGTTTAGATTGGATATTAGGAAAAATTTCTTCACCAAAAGGGTTGTCAAGCATTGGAACAAGCTTCCCAGGAAAGTAGTTGAGTGACCATCCCTGGAGGTATTTAAAAGACATGTAGATGTGGCACTTAGGAATATGGTTTAGTGGTGGACTTGGTAGTGTTAGGTTAACAGTTGGACTTGATGATCTTAAATGTCTTTCCCAACCTAAATTACTCTATGATTCTATGATGCTATGGCTGCAAAGCACATTGACATAGGGAATGGGTGCCATTTCTAGGAAGACAGAAGTCCTCCAACAAAGTGGTTATTTTTTTCCTTTGCTTCTTTTCTAGGATGGGATCTTTTTATGCTCCATGTCTCCCAGCGATCAATGTGTTCCGCCTCCACACTTCAATGTACCTGCAGTGCTGGGCAGTGATGTGCTGCAATGTCCCCCAAGAGAGGGTCTTCAAGGCTTCTAGATCCAATAACTTCTACATGGCCATGCTGCTTTTCATCCTCTTTCTCTCCACACTGCCTGCAGTGTACACCATTGTCTCCATCCCACCATCTTTTGACTGTGGTCCTTTCAGGTTTTTTGCATTTTACATCCATCTTTTGTTATTGATGTAATGCACCACCTCATCCCATCATGGTGAATGATGCAGTAATGAAAAAGAACTTCTATAATAAGCATTAGCACCTGACAGGCTGAGTGTTTAATTGTATCACATTTCTCATTGTGGGTTAATTCCTGAGGCTGGAATCCTAGAAAAGTGAATAATTCTTTAGAAAGTTTTATCTGATGTATAGAACAGAAAATCTTTTCTTTTAGTTAGTTGTAATGTAAAACATTGTCATTACTGCTCTAATTAAGCCATGAATTATTCTTAAGGAATAGAGCAGTGACCTGTTATGCATCTCTGGTCTCCTGGCTTGAGAATGATGGCTTTCAGGAAATGTCTGCATATGCCCTGGAGAAGGGGCATATCAGAACTTATGGTGTGCTAAACATATGGTAGTGCAGTCTTTGACTGCTGTGACCCCCTCCAACTGACACAGTATTTCATGCATCTGCGTTACCACCCTGAAGCTGATTCTGTTTCTGAAGTCTTCAAGACCTCCAAGCCCATTAGACCCTTCTAAAAACTTAGGCCTGTCTTGCCTGTGCAAACATATGCCTTGCATTCAAGCTAGCTGTTGTGGTCTAACCTGGTAGACAGCTAAACACCATACAGCCATTTGCTCACTCCACTCCCTCCCCAATGGGATGGGGGAGAAAATTGGAGGTGGGGGAAACCCCAAAAGTAAAATTCGTGGGTTGAGATAAAGACAGTTTAATA